TTTATCTCCTTCCAGCATTTATTAGCCATCTGGCAAATGACAGGCAGTTAGTGACTGAATGGCATATATCTTTTCAATATTTTTTATAGTGATAAAAATATAGACACAAAAATATCTGCCAACACAATTCCATATATATTATTCAATGGGGAATGGCATACTGAAACAATTTACCTTGGTTGAATAAAATAGTGGATGGATTAATCAGCCAGCTAATTATTGTGGTTAACTCTGTTGTTTATACTCTAGTATTTTCAGTTTAAAATGTCTTCATTAATTAAGTTAGTGAACTTCATTGTTACTGTTTTTTATTTAACCTTGTTTTTACTTAATTCATAGACTTAATGACTATTTTTTATATCTGTCAAAGGCTCTCCATAAATGTGAGTGACATTTATTTAATTCTTTTTAAAGAATGAAGTATCTTTCCAATTACGTACTTTCTAAAGGTAATAGCTCCTACAACTTAGTTCTATATTCTCAACTAAGGTATACTAGAAGAAGAGTATTATAGTTTATTTATCAAGACCTCAAATAATTCAGTGGTGATTAATTTTATAAGACAATGTATAGGAATGATCACATGAAACACAATGTGAATGAAGGAATGTGCAAAATAGAATGTATATGAATAAAAAAAATTTTAATGCAGAAAAGTAATAATAAAATAAAAAGGAACGGTCTTCATTGAATATCTTAAGCAATCACAAGCAATGAAGATATTAACAAAAGAATGTTAATGGTGCTATTTCAAAATATATAAACTATTTCTTCTACTCCACATGTGTCACTAATAGGTTTCTTATAATCTCTAAGAAAAATTGTACCAATTAGAATGAATTTATCTTTTAAACTTAAGCTTAAGTACCACTTCCTCTGGAAAGGCTTTTCTGATTTCTCCTCTATTACAAACTGAGATTCAACTACAGGCATCCATATCTCCTATTATGAGAGTCATCACATTTTTATTGCTTGATTCATTATTTCTCTATTAGATCATAAAGTCTTGCTCATCATTTTATCCTTGGGGCCCTCAAACAGTCTAAGGACCTTATGAACATAAGTGAAGGAAGGAAGGAGGGAAGGGGGGAAAATATTCAAATTTTAGGGAAGTCAATTGTTTCATTCACTTAGTATCCAAAATGCAATCATATGGACAGTACTTTTGGAAACACATCCCTTACAACTGGGATTTAACCAACTCCTTCCTGTACTTATTGAATTGCTGAAAATAATATCAAAAAGTGTTATTTCCTCCTTTAATTCCTCTAGGAGATGAAGACACAAATCATAGAGTCCAAGGGACTAAAGCCAAAGTGGCTCTTCTTGGTTCTTACGTCACTATTTTGGAGTCAGCCCAACTATCTACACTATACCATCTGCACTGTATCCTAAACATCTCTCACTTCCCCATCTGACTCTCCATTGCCCTGTCAGAGTCTGAACACTTTCTTCTGACTCATATCCCAATGTAGTTGATTATCCTCATTGTAATGGAAAGAAGAGAGTATGTGGATCATCCAAGAAGTGGGTTGTCCAAACACTGTCTCTGTTTGGCTTTGAAATCCAACATGCAGCTTTTCTTAGAACCTGATAATTCACCCACTGCTCAGAAAATGAAGAATTCTTTTCTAAGTGGCAGTCCAAATTTGGAAACCACAGCTGTTTTTAGTGATTTAGTCATTGCCTTTCAAGTGCCAAAAATATCACCTACTATAGTCCCCAGGGTTGAAAGACAGAGGAAAGAGAGAGAGAAGGAAAGACGAAACTGGCGATAAAGGTAGCATGAAGTTTCTCTACTAGTATAATTTACTAAAATAACCATAATAAAATATAGCAATAATAATTCATTAAAACCTGTGAAAACTGGAAACTGTTTAAATCAGAAACCTATAATAGAAGGAAAATTCCAATATATTTTCACTGATAGAGAACAGAAAAATGGTCAAACTGCACTCTGTAAAAGGTAAAAGCATGTAAGACACAGGCCCCTCCCTCTAAAAAGGGCAATCTCATCAATTCTGGATTTCACAAGTTTCATGGTAGCAACAACAAGTAGTATTCAAAAGCAATCAGCAAGGTAAGAGCTCATGTGGGCACTCCAGTACCGCAAGGTGGAAGGACAACCTCATTTTACTTATGAAATAACAGTATCAGAGAAATTAAGAAACTGTCACATCTACCAGCCAAAACCGAGTTACAATCTAGACCATACGACTTAAAATTCTGTGTCCTAGGTCCTACTGAATACATTCTTACTCCTACTTTATCCAACTCCCATGTCATGGCTCCATTTTTTGTGGAAAATATACCCTTTACCCAGCACTGGGGGCCAAAAGGGAGACATTAGGACTTCCCAGGATAGAGAAGGAACAAAGATTCAAGTTCTGGTTTTTAGATTCAGGTTCCAGGCATGTAGATATTAAGATCTTCTTTAGCCTATTCCCAAGATGATTTTGGAGACTTGCAAGAAAGAAGTTTGTCCAATGTGCCCCTGTGTGCATCTTGGACTCTAGTTCCCCAAAATGTTCAGTCTTCAGTTTCTGGAACTTGGAAACAGCCAAAACAACTTTTTTCAACCAGCAAAACTTGGAGAATCTTCTCTAGTCTGCAGTCTTTACCTCCCCAAAACAGGCCGGTGCTTACCATATTCTGGACTGGAGAAGAAAAGAACATGTCTAATCCTAGAGGCCTTACTACTCGGGCCCATGCTGCTATAGCTAATGGATGTCTATCCACTGCAGCAGGTCTCGGAAGACGACCCTGAACAGCATGAATGTTTAATGCATGGTTGCTACCTGAAAAACTGGTAGTTTGAGTCCACTCTGAGATTCTTTAGTAGAAAATCCTCCCCCATACTTCAGACAAACCAGCCACTGTAACCCTACAGAGAATAGTTCTACTTGGACCCACATGGGGTTGTTATGACCTGGAATCCACTTGACAGAAACTGGATTTTAGTCTATGAGGTAGCAACACCAAATGTGATATCCTTACAAAGTAAATTTTGGCACAGTTACGTAAATGAGCACTGGGAAAAAAAACCCAGAAAAATAACTGAAGGGCTACCAAAAGAAATAGAGAAGACAGAAGCACTTCTGCAGACAGTATTTTACAAAAATTTTCTGAGCTTCCAGAATCTTGAAACTCTACATCAAGGAAAAGAGTTTATTTCCCCTCCACTTGAACTTGGGAGGCCTTTATAATTGTCTCAATGAAAAGAACATCGCTGTAGTTATCTTCTGAGTGTAGGCTAGAAAAAGTGAAACAGCTCCTACAAGGCGGTCTTTCTTGGGTACTTGGCTTTATAACCTTGGAGAAATCTCAGGCTAAATGGAAAGATAGGCATGTGTAGGTATTCTGGCTATCAGCTCCAACTGTAATTAGCTAACAGCTATTAGCCAACAGCTAGCACTAATTGCTAAACATAAATGGGTGAATAATTCTAGTCACTAGCATATGAGTCATCCCAGCCTTCAGGTCCCCCAGCTGATAGAGGCTTCAAGCATAGAACATGAGGCAGAGAAAAACGAAAACCCAAGCTTCGTCCTCTGTGAGTTCTTGGCCCATAGAATACCTAAATGTTTTAGGTCGCTAAGTTTGGGGATCATTTGTTACACAGCAAGAGATAACCAGAGCAAGAACCTAGGCCTAATGGAATTGCAAACAGAGTATGTTCCATTTGCAAAGGTTTAAAGGTGAATCCAGCCCTCCCCTGCATAGGTTAGTCATTTCTTGAAGTGGCTCCACTTTGCTTCTGAAATGCCACTCGGCCCTCTCCTTCTAACTCTATCAGACTCGTTTTTAAAGACCTGACTCTCCATTGTCACAGCATTTTATCCATTTTCTTTAAGTGTCTTGAGTTCTGGATAAATCAAGAGGTAAGCTATCACACTTATTCTGCTCTTTAAGAGTATAGAGCAATGCAGGGGAGTGATGGGTAGTGAGAACAGGAAGAAGTTCACTCTGAACACCTTTGTCTTAGTTTTTTTTTCTTTGTCTTAGTTTTAACCTTACTTGTTGTATTAGACTAGAACCTGTTGTATTAGAATAGTTTCCTAAGGACAGTGAAAACCTTCATTATCAATGCATATACCACTAAATCATTTTATTGCCAATAACAACCTTTGCTCAGGTCAAGTTTCAAAACCAGAAAAATAAAAATATATAAAGATGTTCCTATCATTTACATTGTTTTAATAAAAGTACATAGAACAATGACTGAAATGTAGAAACACTAAAGAAACAGATTTTTGAATGAAAGAATGAATGAGTAAAATGCTTCCCCTCTTTCTAAAGCGAAACTCATTGATAGGGAGTTGATTCCAACTCACAGCAACCCTCCCTGGGTCTCTGAGACTGGAAATCTTTATGGGAAGAGATGGCATATCTTTCTCTCATGGAGTAGCTGGTGGATTTGAATTGCTCACCCTTCAAATGGTAGTGAAACATAGGTCCCACTATACCACAACTGCTCCATCATTCTAGAAAGTAGTATCAAAATACTAGACTAGCATAATGTGCTTAGACATCTGTAGTATTTAATAAGCTGACATTCTATTGCATTAAGTAAAATGTTTTTCAAGCTGCTCAAGGTAAATGTTAAGGTTTGAAACTGAGTTCCTTGACAGTAGGAACTACATCTTATTCCATTTTGTATTTTTAACACATGGCAAATGTTATAAAAATAACAAAGCATTTAATTATTATTGTAGCAGAGACAAAATACTTTTTAATTTTATATGCTGTAAAAATATATATGTTGCATTTTAAAAATCATTCATTAAAAAAAAAGAAAGCTAAAAAACAAAACAAAACCAAACCCCAAAAAACCCCAACCCAACCAACAAATAACAATCACTAAAATGTGAAGGCTCTCTGGACCATGCCCATCTGGACTGCACTATTTTTCTACCCTGATTCCCACCGTGGGTACCTTATGATCTTTTTCTTATCTTGGCCCCAAACTGAACTCTTTTTCCCAGGACACTTTTACTCACTTTCTGAATTTTCCTAATCTGGTCAGAGAGTGTGTCTAACAGGCGAGTTTTCAGGAAGTCCATCACCTTGACCACTCGGCCATCAATGTAGCAACTGGAATAAAAATAAAATAAGAATCAGATAAAATCTGGAGCAGAGGACTACAAATAACACTTCTCTAGCCAAATGTCTCTACTGCCTGAGGAGACTGTCCAGGGTTCCACTCAGATTCTCAAAGCCAGAAAAAACTTGACCCTGGGTTCTTTTTCAGAGAAATAATATACTTCTTAATCTTCTCTAGTTCCACCTTCTTTTGTAGACTAATACTGTGATTTTTTTTTTTTAAACCTTTGTTTCTTCAAACTCCATTACTTGCTCTGTGGGAACTGACAGGAATTCCAAAATACAAATTATGTAGTTGAGAAAATCTTTCCCTCCCTCTTTGGAAAGTAATTTAACACCCATTCTATGCCCATCCTTTCCCCTTTTTAAAGCGATAGAGGTATGTGAGATGTTTGAAAGAATACTCAAACATTTTGATAGGTTTCCACAACTTTGAAATAAAAAAACAAACACAAACACAAAAATCTCAGTGCTGTAAGTGGGTCTCAGATGTTTTCAGTCTGCTGCTCAATTCCTGGGGCAAAATACACTGTAGTCAACTATCTTCTACAACCTTCGAATCAATCCATTTCAGGAACAAATTAAAATCCAGGAGCCCTGTCTTAGAATGTAAAGAAAATTTAGCAGTCATCAATCATGTGATGACGTCTGGTTTTTGTTAGGTAGCTTTAGCGAAATATCAAGTTGTGCTAGCAGTTGGCCAAGCAGGTCCCTCTAGCTTTGTGAGAGCTCCTTTTGTGAGTTTCTTCTTCTGAAGACTAAATTGAGATTGTCTCAGGGTTAGGTGACCTTCATTACTCTAATCTTGTTCCATCATCCCATCCCCTCTGCCCCTGTCTTTGCAATGTTCTGAGTTAAATCAATCTTTATTGATTCATAAATGCTTATGACATCTAGGTGTCTTTTCCAACTTACTAAGGTCACCTTGGTTGATGGCAAAAGATAGCTTATTTCATTTTTAATGATGTCAGTATATAGGATTGTCCATCTTTCTCCTGAGGATCTGAACTGTTAGAGAGGCATGGCCTTTGAGTTAGCAGCACAACACCCTACAAACTAAACGATCAAGTCCCCAGTGAAGGAATTTCACTGGTAAAGCGTGGAACAAAAAGAATAGATTTTTTGGTTTTGTTTTTTTTTTTAAATAGGTGGAAGACAAAGGAAAGGACAGAGAGTTTATTGTACTGATAAAATTTAGATGCTAATAGTCATTTGCTCTAAAATATGCAAACTCAGAACAACATTCCTGGGAAGGTATTTTCCAGCTCTGCTTGAAGTTTCCAGAAACAAAGGACACACTTGGAGAAATCTTTGTGGCAGTGTTCATTGCTGTAGAGGTGAACCTGACTCCTGTGTCTCCACATGTATACTGTAGAACTGTGTAAACTGCACATGTACACTGTAGAGTTTATAAGACTGTTCCCTTTCAGAAGCTGATTGCCAGACTGGTCTCCTGAATCACTTTGGAGTGGGTTCAAACCACTAACCTTTCTGTTCGTTGTTAAGTGCTTGACCATTTGTGATACTCAGAGATGCCACTGTCACTGGACTAGCTAAGCTCTAAATGATGAAGTATCTTTTGATATTTGCCTGAATTTTTTTTCTCGCTTTCTGTTCATTTACTGTCCATCTTCTCAGATCCAGAATAGGTAACTTCTTTTTCATGCCACACATAGGGAAGAACTCTAAGAAAAAAATTTGGCTTAATCTCCATACTGATTACGCCAATTGAACTCCACACAGAAATTATCAATGAGAAAATACAGGTCATGTGGTTGGAGCTATATAAAATAAGTGCAGGACAAAAGTTGAGGCAAAAAAAGAAAAAAGAAAAAAGTTGACCTGAGGAATCGTATTCCATTTCCAAGTAGCGGATCATGGGAGATATAGCAGTGTAGTCTTTATATACTGGCTCTGAAGGGAAAAGATGGGTAATCTTTTCATGTATGGTTTACAGCCTTAGAAACACAAAGGAAGGTTAGTTTTGCACCAGTTCGGACTCCACAGCAGTGAACAGAGAAAAAGGGAGAGACATTAAGGGAAGTTAACAGGGACGCCACAGATCTTTAAGATCTTTATAAATCTTTCCAAATATGGCCCTGGTCTTTGTTTCTGCCTTCAACCAAGCTAAGTGTTCCATCCTCACCCAAACTGACTATCATACTGTCTTTTTAGAAAACTTAATCAGAGTCCAATTCACATTAAAATATGAAGACATTTCTATATTATTTGGAAGTGGTTCAACTTCAAACTCACATTTACATTATGCTATGGAAATAAATGGTTCTGACTCGATGGGCCTCAACGATAACAATAACAACAACAACAACAACAACAAAAATGAGAGCTGTGGTGGCATAAGGCATAGGAAGTAGAGCCGCTGATCCAAAGCTTTTCTGAGAGTTCAAATTCGTTAGTGACTCCAAGCAACAAAGATGCGTAATCTCCCATGCTACTGACAGGTTTGGAAAACCTGCTGGAGGGTCTACTAGGAGTTGATTCATACTCAATGCTAATCAATTCAAGTTCTGATGGAAATTTGAACTTCTGTCTTCTAGAATTAGTATCATTTTAAAAAAGAAGGAATAATGAACTATATCATAGTATTCTGATAAATGCCTAAACCTTGTCCGGGTGTACCCTTGCATGAAACAATTACTTTCTGCATTTACCTTTTGTATGTGTGAGGCTTCTAAGGAAACAATTTAGATAATCTGTTGTTGTGTGCAAAATCCTTGACAGCTACAAAGTTTTGGTGCTCTGATAGTTGTTATCTGTGGAAAAGGGCCCAGTAGAGCATTTACATTTAGACTTGAAAAAGAGTAGTTTGTGATAAGTATTTTAGAAGTAGAAATTAGTAAGCATAAATTTGCTAAGGATAAACCAAATGGTGGCCACAACAGTGAATTCTAACAAAGACAGGGCTGTAATCTAACTGGCTGTCCAGTGACCTGGGGCAACTCCCTCAGCTTCTCTCTTTCTCACCAGGAAGATACAGATAATCCTTAGCTCTACTCACCAGTTTCCACAGATCTAATTAATTTGGCAAGTGACTCCAGAGGATTCAGAAGACCAAATAAATCAGAAAGGAACAAAAGAACTCAAAGAAGGAAAGACAGGTGAGGAGGAAATTCATCAATCAATTGGAGGTGCTCTAACACCTTCCACGTAAATGCTGGCAGCCTTGTTCACTTCAGCTGACACTGTGAGGTAAATCATGGTCCCCCTCCAACTTCTTGAAATTTCAGCTTCCCTCAGATCACACCACTAGTAACTGAGCTGTTCAGTGAGAAGCTGAGACTTAGAAAGTTGTTGCAAAAATAATCTGCAGGAACTATTACAACTGCAGTAGGATTGAAACCTTTGTGTTTGGACAAATAGCCTGTCTGGCTCAATACCAGCAACCATCATTCCTTCTCTCCACTGGCCTCTGGACTGTCAAGGCACAGCAAGCCCGCATATGAAAAAAGTGACAAAGATGGCAGAGGTAAATGAAGTCACTTAAATAATTCATTCACCACCTTTCTTGCTCTCAAATTTGAATTTTATTTCAGGATGGTCCTCTTCATCTTATTTTATTTACCTTTCCCCCATTTATTTTTATTATAAAAGCAAATATATATCTATAGTAAAGGAGTTTAAAATGTCCGTAAACAGATATAAAATTTTTAAAATGAATTCACTATAAGCTCAACACCTAGAAAGATCTACTGCTAACATTTTGCTATTCACCCTTGCAGAGTTTTATCCATACTAAATACATAAAATTAATTTTCCAAATTTATTTTCAAAACTTATTCTAGATCCTATTGTTCTAGCGCATGAATTTAAAATGGATCCAGCTGAGATTCCAGGACACAGGAACACTGCAAGAAACATTAGACTCCTTATCAAGTCTTCTCATTCTTAATTTTAATTCTATTCTGTCCGTTTCGGGCTCCTCTGCCAGGGACAGTCTTACCTCTTTGCTGTATGTACCAGCCAGGTTTTAAGTCTCAGCTGATAGCTTCAGTCCTCAGGATTGTGCTACTATTACCCACTTACGCCCATTAGTCTCTTAAAACAATAATGAGGAGTTAGTTGGTTCCAAGGGCAGCTGGTTTTGTTTACCTGGCCCTTTACTTTAAGAGGAAAAACCTTTGCCCCTTATTATCTGACCCCTTCTTTTATTTCAGGTAATTGCATTAGTGCTGGCTTCCCGATGCTCAGGAATTTCCGGACCTATTTTGCAGCCTGCTGCTTCCAGGGAGGAGGGGTAGTCTGCTCAGAATTCTAACACCAAGCCTGCTGACGAGGCAGGTAAATCTATAAAACTGGAGCCTTCCCCACTGAAGGACGGAAAGCGTAGGCCATCATTAGAACAACTCTATTGACCTATAAAACCTATTCCGACACCTCCAGGGCAAACAGTGGAGAAGGCTGAGGAGTGTCTATAAAGATTTATAAATTGCATTTACCCCTCCTCCAGAGGCCCTCACCATGGTCTCCTGCTGAGACCCCTACTTCTTGGTAATTGCTTTCTCCCTGGCCATATCTGTTTTGACATTCTTTGCAATGGGTTAACTTCCTTATCTGTGCTCTGAATGATCTGGGATAGGTAAACCTTGTGCAATATGGACATTGTTAGAGAGTTTCTGCTGAAGATTTGTTTCCTTGGTTTTCTGAAACTGTTTCTATAAATCCATTTAGGAATCACTGGGCTAAGAGGTTATGGATTTGTAATGCTGGGAACATGTTAGAACTGCTAGATAGTACAAATAAAGGCCATAAGCACATACTCAATCCCATAAGCACATAGTGGGTGCTCAAAACCGATAGATTTAAGGAGAGCCTGTATGGTTCAAGTCACAATGAGCCAAGAGGGTGTCCCTGAGTCTCAAGCTTTACATTTGTTGTTAGTTGTATTTAAGTTAACTCTGATTATCACAAACACATGTGTGCAGAAGAGAACTACTGGGTATGGTTTTCCTTTTTAGTGCTGTGAAGCTCCA